AACATTCTACCTGTCAGGGTGGTTAAACACTGGAATAAATTGCCTACGGAGGTTGTGCAAACACATCGGCTACGTCTAGACTGGCATGATTTTATACAAATACTTTTAACGGAAAAGTTTTCCGTTAAAAGCATTTGCAGAAAAGAGCATCTAGATTGGCACGGACACTTTTCCGCAAAAGCACTTTTTGCGGAAAAGCATCCGTGCCAATCTAGACGCGGTTTTGCGCAAGAAAGCCCCGATCGCCATTTTCGTGATCGGGGCTTTTTGTGCAAAACAATACCGCGCTGTCTACACTGATCCTCTTGCGCAAAAGCATTTACGCTAGAGGGCTTTTGCACGAACGGGAGCAGCATAGCATTTCCACAAGAAGCACTGATTTCAGACAGTAGGAAGTCAGTGTTCTTGCGGAAATTCAAGTGGCCAGTATAGACAGCTGGCAAGTTTTTCCGCAAAAGCACTTGCTTTTGCGGAAAAACTTGCCAGTCTAGACGCAGCCATCAGGTTAGACAAACACATCAGGGATGTGGGTAGCAACCTGGGGAGCAGTGATCATGAGATGGTCGAGTTCAGGAACCTGACCAAAACAAGAAAGGAGAGCAGCAAAATACACACCCTGGACTTCAGAAAAGCAGACTGAGACTCCCTCAGAGAACTGATGGGCAGGATCCCCTGGTACGCTAACATGAAGGCGAAAGGCGTCCAGGAGCGCTGGCTGTATTTTAAACTGAAGTCATGGGAACACACAATCTTGATGCACAGTAAGAAAAGCAAATATGGCAGGTGATCAGGGTGCCTTACCAAGGAAATCCTTGGCAAGCTTAAACACAAAAAGGAAGTTTATAAGATGTGGAAACTTGGACAGATGACTAGAGAGGAATATAAATCTATTGCTCGAGAATTCAGGGGAGCAATCAGGAAGGTGAAAGCGCAATTTGGAATTGCAGCTAGGAAGGGATGTGAAGGGTAACAAGAAAGGTTTCTACAGGCATGTTAGCAACAAGAGGGTGATCAAGGAAGGGTGTGGGGCCCTTACTGGATGAGGGAGGTAACCCAGTGACAGATGATGTGGGAAAAGCTGAAGTACTCAATGCTTTTTTTTGCCTCTGCCTTCACAGACAAGGTCAGCTCCCAAATTACTACATTAGGCAACAGAGTATGTGAAGGAGAAGGACAGCCCTTGCTTGGTAAAGAACAGGTTAGGAACTATTTAGAAAAGCTAAACATACACAAATCCATGGGTCCAGACTCAATGATCCGAGGGAGCTGAGGGAGTTGGCAAATGTCACTGCACAGCCTTAGGTCATTATCTTTGAAAATTCGTGGAGATCAGTAGAGGTCCTGGATAACTGGAAAAAGGCAAATGTAGCGCCCATCTTTAAAAAAGGGAAGGAGGACGCTCCAGGAAACAATAGACTGGTCAGCCGTACCTCAGTCCCCGGAAAAATCATGGAGGGGATCCTCGAGGAATCCATTTTGAGGCACTTGGAAGAGGGGAACGAGATCAGGAATAGTCCACATGGATTCACGAAGGGCAAGTCGTGCCTGACCAATCTGATTAGCTTCTACGATGAGGTACCTGACTCTGGGAAAGTCAGTGGATGTGATATACCTTGACTTTAGCAAAGCTTTTGATACTGTCTCCCACAATATTCTTGCCAGCAAGTTAAGGAAATATGGATTGGATAAATGGACTGTAAGATGGCTAGAAAGCTGGCTACACTGTCGGACTCAACGGCTAGTGATCAACGATGTCTGGCTGGCGGTCGGTTTCAAGCAGAGTGCCCCAAGTGTCTGTTCTAGGGCCAGTTTTGTTCAACATCTTTATTAATGACCTGGAGGAGGGGATGGATTGCACCCTCAGCAAGTTTGCGGATGACACTGAGCTCGGGGGGATGGTATATACGTTGGAGGGTAAGAATAGGATCCAGAGTGACCTAGACAAATTGGAGGACTGGGCCAAAAAAATCTGATGAGGTTCAACAAGGACAAGTGCAGAGTCCTGCACTTGGGATGGAAGAATCCCAAGCATTGTTACAGGCTGAGGACCGACTGGCTAAGTAGCAGTTCTGCAGAAAAGGACCTGGGGATTATAGTGGATGAGAAGCTGGATATGCGTCAACAGTGTGCCCTTGTAGCCAAGAAGGCTAATGGCATGTTAGGGTGCATTAGGAGGAGCATTGCCAGCAAATCTAGAGAAGTTATCATTCTCCTTTATTCAACACTGGGGAGGCCACATCTGCATCCAGTTCTGGATCCCACGCTATAGACAGGATGTGGATGCATTGGAGAGGTCCAGCGGAGGGCAAAGTGGCTAGGGGGCAGGAGTACACGACTTATGAGGAGAGGCTGAGGGAATTTGGGCTTTTTTAGGCTGAAGAAGAGAGGAGTGAGAGGGGATTGATAGCAGCCTTCAACTTCCTGAAGGGAGGTTCCAAAGAGGATGGAGCGAGACTGTTCTCAGTAGTGACGACTGGCAGAATGAGGAACAATGGCCTCAAGTTACAGTGGGGAGGTCTAGTTTGGATATTAGGAAAAACTGTTTCCCTAGGAGGGTGGGGAAGCACTGGGATGGGTTACCTAGGAGGGGGTAGAATCTCCACCTGAGAGTTGGGGTTGGTCCTGCTTTGGGCAGGGGGCTGGCCTTGATGACCTGCTGAGGTCTCTGCCAGCCCTAGGATTCTCTAACTATGATTCAGATAGTGCTTAGTCCTGCCTTGAGGGCAGGGGCTGGGCTGGCTGACCTTTCCAGTCCTACAATTCTAGGACTAGTTCAGTATGTTTCAGCAGTGATTTCCCAACACAAGCACTTAAGTCTCTGTCCCTCGCTCTGCACCTGGCACAGGAGACTGAAAATGACATTTAGAGACTATAGAGGAGTAATCACCTCACAGGCCAAAATTGTAACTAAGGATAACCTGGGTAACAGTACAACCGAACCCCTGAGCTCTGCGAATGTCAGTCTAGCCTTGGGGATGAACGGATGAGACTCCTAGACCTGAGATATTTGCCTCCTGATAGCATATTAAATATGACTGTAAGAAAGGAGTGCTGGACAATTGCTCTGAATTTCCTGGCTCCCACCCCATCAGGTAACAAGTACAATACACCTAGGAGATGCTGTTAAAGCTTCCTGTGAATTAACCCTAATGTCAGTCAAACAGCGATGCCTGGCCAACAGCCTGTTCATGACACACCCAGACAGATACTCAGGGCAAAAGTTATGGGAATGCCCCAACACAGCATAGCTGAGAGGGCTATTCTCGGCTCTCACCACGTTTGCTGTCCCTGCCTGGCGTGTGTTCCTTCTGTGAGCAGACTTCTGGAGGGCCTCAGAAAGCCAAGCTCTAGTGTCCCCTTCGGGTTTGTGGAGACATTGTCTGCTCCTATCATTGTAACAACCCTCAGGCATTGTGAGGTGTGATCTTGGTGCTACTGGTACAGCTGGTTCCTTGGCAGGTTGTTTGCCACATTTTAGTTTGAAATTAATATTCCTCCTACTTGCAATGGAATTCTTGTGCTAGTATTTCTTCTTTTCCCTGGTGCTAAGCACTAGAACATAAGGACAGCCATACTGGGTCAGGCCAAAGGTCCATCTAGCCCAGTAGCCTGTCTGCCGACAGTGGCCAGCACCAGGTGCCCCAGAGAGTGATTTGTCTCCTGTTATCTTTCTCCAGCCTCTGACAAACAGAGGCCAGGGACACCATTTCTATCCCCTGGCTAATAGCCTTTTATGGACCTAACCTAACCTCCATGAAATTATCTAGCTTCTCTTTAAACTCTCTTATAGTTCTAGCTTTCACAGCCTCCTCTGGCAAGGAGTTCCACAGGTTGACTACGCGCTGTGTGAAGAAGAACTTTCTTTTATTAGTTTTAAACCTGTAGTTCAAACAGGTTTAAACTGTTCCCAAACATTAGTTCCCTGGTGCTTGGCTCTTTGTTAATTATGTCAAGGTCACCAGTCTCTCACTGAAGCCGTTTGTCACAAGGTTTTTGGCTGGAAGTCCCCATTTGGGAACCCTAAAAGCACTGTGAGATGTGCAGCGATACCCACCAATTTGTGATTTGGATTGAGTTTTCCACTCTCATTTGACGGCTTGTAATAAAGACCCGAACTGAAGGATCAGCAAATTGCTAAAATGAGGAACTCAGGAGTTCTCTGGCAGCACAGATGTCACTACTCATGCCACACCATGGCACCCTGCACAGAAAGAGCTCTGCGGACTAGTGCCGTCTCAATAGTTCTCTTTCTGGGTTCCTTGTCAGGTGCTTGTTGGTACCAGATGTCTCATTAGCAGCAGCTGCCTCAGCTAACCAGTCTGGGGAGCAGAAAGGTAACTGGGAGTTCTGCTTGACAAATGCTCTGGTTTTCAATGGAAGCTGCAGCTGAAACACCTGCAAGTTGTGTACAGTGCGCTGCACCTGAACAGCCAGCAGCTCGTGAGGCTTTTCCTGTACTAGGCAGAGGCACATCACATTCCTAGTCAGCTGGAGAATAAACTCCTGGGAAGCTCTGGCATCATTCATCACAACGGTCCTTTGGGAACGATTCTGACTTAGAGGGAGCTCTCCAAGGACACTATTGTGCTATTCACTACAGCTCAGTGTCCTGGAGATACCCAACGTTCACAAGCACGTCAGCGCGTCACGATTCCATTTCATCCCAGGGCAGCCAAGGAGACTCATCAGTGTCTCGGCTCCACCACAGAATGAAGTGCAGAGGCCCTTTGATAGGAGCAATGAATGAATGCCCTGATCGCTAAGTGTCCTAGGAGGGGGGATTGGCTCCAGGCTGGGGAGCCTGTCACACTTTCTAGGACACGATTCTGGCATGTTCCAAAGACATTTCACCCATGATGCCCAGCCCCACCCTTAGAGACCTAGTAGGCCTCTAAGTCACATATGAGAGCTTCGGAGATGGCGTGCCAATCAGAGTCAGACCCAGATTGCTTAGCTGGCAATTGGGTGAAGACCCCAGGAATTCGGCATGCAGCTTATACCTGGATTTCATAAACAGGTTTGGAAGAAGGAATAGCAGCAAATTCCCGGTAGTCAAACTTCTTTTCAGACATGGACTGGAAGGGACAGCAAACCAGAAGAGAGAGAGACAGAGAGAGAGAGAGAGAGAGAAAGGCATCAGCAGCAAGCAGAGGGCTGCAGCACACTATGGAAAGGCGGCTCAGGAGACAAGGGCAGAAGAATTAGCTTTGAACCAAGTGATGGGGATACCTCCCACCCATCTGTGAAAGGTGGCACTAGCTCACATGAACAACTGTCGATTGCAACAAGTCATCTCTGGGATATTAGTCCATCGTGCTCTGAGGCTCAGGACAGCGAAGGGCACTAAAATCCAGGGCATATACTGTGTGGACCACTGGACGGGGCAATGGAACTGGGGAAAATCCAGGTTCCACTGAAATCAGTGGCAAACTCCCATGGATTTCACTGGGGCCAAGATTTTAAACCTCCATCTATTCCTGGTTCTGCTGTGTGACTCTGGGCAAGTTTCTTCTCTTCCGTGTGCCTCAGTTCCCCTTCCCCCCACCACAGTGAGCTCTGTCTTTCACTGTGTGTGAACAGTACCCAACCCTGCTCTCAGCTGGTCACTGCAATGCACCAAACAACCGCAGCAGCCAGGGAGCAGAGGCCTGGCGAGGTGTCTAAGGCGTGCAAGAAGCAAAGGGCATGGAAATAAATGTGTGGGGAAGGGGCAGGTTCCCAGAAACGTGAAACGGGACCCTAGGGAAATGACACCCAGTCTCTTCGCAACAGGCGCAGGGCCAGCCGGCTCACGCTCGCAGCCTGTGCCACGGTCGGGGCTGAGTCTGAGAGTGGGGAATCCCACACCCAGCCATATGGGTCCTTCTCCCTCCTGGCTTGTGAGGAGGTGTCCCAGGATTAGAGACAAGACAGAATGGCAGCGACTCCTACCAGCCTCCCTGGTGAAGTGACATTCCTGGGGCTGCAGTCTGCAAAAGAAGAGGCAGAAGCACCGGTTAGTGAGGGACACCTGAAGCACCCTCCCCCCTTTGGCAGCATGGCTATAGAGGGACATGCCGAGACAAGCGCTCTCCTCCAGCACAGGGTGATTTCGCTTTCCTCGTGACATGTGCTTGGGTTCCAGAACAAAGGGGCGGGGCTCTGTCAGTGACGCCCCGGTCGGAAAGACTCCAGCCAGCCCTGGATGTGCTTCCGCAGGCTAGAGGAAGAGGGGGCTTGGCTTTCAGTAGGCCTGTGTCTAAGACCACTGTGTCCTACTATAGTGAACTAGCCACACTCAGCCAGCCAACTAGCCATGCTCAATCAACCAAGCAGCCACATGTGACGTGGCTAGCATGTTGGATACCGCAGCTCTAAGGGTACGTCTACACTACAGCGCTAATTCAAACTAAGCTAGTTAATTCGAACTAAGCTAATTCGAACTAACGGATCCAGACTAAAAAGCTAGTTCGAATTAGCGTTTTGCTAATTCGAACTAGGAAGTTCGAACTAGGCTTAGTCCTCGTAGAATGAAATTTACCTAGTTCGAACTAAGCGCTCCGCTAGTTCGGACTAACGGAGCGCTTAGTTCGAACTAGATAAATTTCATTCTACGAGGACTAAGCCTAGTTCGAACGTACTAGTTCGAATTAAGGGGCTACACACCCCTTAATTCGAACTAGGAAGTTCGAACTAGGCTTAGTCCTCGTAGAATGAAATTTACCTAGTTCGAACTAAGCGCTCCGCTAGTTCGGACTAACGGAGCGCTTAGTTCGAACTAGATAAATTTCATTCTACGAGGACTAAGCCTAGTTCGAACGTACTAGTTCGAATTAAGGGGCTACACACCCCTTAATTCGAACTAGGAAGTTCGAACTAGGCTTAGTCCTCGTAGAATGAAATTTACCTAGTTCGAACTAAGCGCTCCGCTAGTTCGGACTAACGGAGCGCTTAGTTCGAACTAGATAAATTTCATTCTACGAGGACTAAGCCTAGTTCGAACGTACTAGTTCGAATTAAGGGGCTACACACCCCTTAATTCGAACTAGGAAGTTCGAACTAGGCTTAGTCCTCGTAGAATGAAATTTACCTAGTTCGAACTAAGCGCTCCGCTAGTTCGGACTAACGGAGCGCTTAGTTCGAACTAGATAAATTTCATTCTACGAGGACTAAGCCTAGTTCGAACGTACTAGTTCGAATTAAGGGGCTACACACCCCTTAATTCGAACTAGGAAGTTCGAACTAGGCTTAGTCCTCGTAGAATGAAATTTACCTAGTTCGAACTAAGCGCTCCGCTAGTTCGGACTAACGGAGCGCTTAGTTCGAACTAGATAAATTTCATTCTACGAGGACTAAGCCTAGTTCGAACGTACTAGTTCGAATTAAGGGGCTACACACCCCTTAATTCGAACTAGGAAGTTCGAACTAGGCTTAGTCCTCGTAGAATGAAATTTACCTAGTTCGAACTAAGCGCTCCGCTAGTTCGGACTAACGGAGCGCTTAGTTCGAACTAGATAAATTTCATTCTACGAGGACTAAGCCTAGTTCGAACGTACTAGTTCGAATTAAGGGGCTACACACCCCTTAATTCGAACTAGGAAGTTCGAACTAGGCTTAGTCCTCGTAGAATGAAATTTACCTAGTTCGAACTAAGCGCTCCGCTAGTTCGGACTAACGGAGCGCTTAGTTCGAACTAGATAAATTTCATTCTACGAGGACTAAGCCTAGTTCGAACGTACTAGTTCGAATTAAGGGGCTACACACCCCTTAATTCGAACTAGGAAGTTCGAACTAGGCTTAGTCCTCGTAGAATGAAATTTACCTAGTTCGAACTAAGCGCTCCGCTAGTTCGGACTAACGGAGCGCTTAGTTCGAACTAGATAAATTTCATTCTACGAGGACTAAGCCTAGTTCGAACGTACTAGTTCGAATTAAGGGGCTACACACCCCTTAATTCGAACTAGGAAGTTCGAACTAGGCTTAGTCCTCGTAGAATGAAATTTACCTAGTTCGAACTAAGCGCTCCGTAAGTTCGAACTAGCGGAGCGCTAGCATAGCGCCTATCAAAGTGAATTCGAACTAACGTCCATTAGTTGGAATTAACTTTGTAGTGTAGACATACCCTAAGACCTAGGGCAGAGTCCTGGCTAGCTCTAGCCCCAGGGAGGTGGTGGACCTCACGCCCAGGACCCCATGGCGTACGTACCTTCTGGCAGCGTTGGGGAGGGAGTGGGAGCAGGTGAAGGAGATTCAGCCAGCTGTTCCAGAGTGCTGCGCTTCTTCCCCTCCTTGGACTTGGCAATCACCATCTGGGCTTTGAGGGCATCCTGCTCCAGAGACTTCATCCTGCCTCAGAGAGGGGAGAACGTAGACATCAGCATCACTGAAGAGCATGCAGGTAATGCCTTCCTCTGAGCCCAGCCTCCAGCCCACGGCTCTAGGGCTGAAGGCTGGAGGGTGGGGATAGAGCTCTGTCAATCTGGCAAGGGGGAGGATCTCTGCAGCCGACAGAGCACGTCAGTGTAGGAGAGAATTCAGAAACCATCTGACTTTGCTATGATCAGCCATTAGCCCCTCCTGATGTGTGAATCTGGGACAGACACAGCCAAGCGCTGCCCACCCAAGCGAGCTGCTGCAGGGTTTCCCACAGGTGCCGTGGGCTATACTGGAGAGAGAGCCAGGTGTGATAAACTACAAGGGCATGAGGGTTATTTCAGGCAGGCTGATCTCCCTCCATACTCCACCAACACTACTGCATCCTGCCCCTCTTTCGGCATTTGTGAACTTCAGAACCGACTGGGGGGGGTGGGGGGCGGCTCTGCACTCAGCAGCAGAGGCTCCCCAAACTGGGTTAGGTAACTGCCACCTGCTAGCAGACCCAGGGAGCAGTGGGCCACTGCATCAGGAGTGGGGTGCTTCTCCCCATTCCTAGAGCAGCAGCAGAGATGGCTGCAGAAATACAGCTAGGGATTGTGGAACATGCAACTGGAGAGGCAGGAGCTGTGCACACCTGGATTGACTTCCTGACCCAGGGGTCCTTGAGCCGTGACTCTGCACTGGGCTAGACACCTGAGCTGGCCTGGCCCCTGGTGCAGGTGCCCACTGTCGGGACTGGTAGAGCTTCCTGGCCAGCTCCTGCTCGTACTGTTTAATACTGTCTTCAAGAGTGGAGGATCTGAGGAGGAGCAGGCAGAGGAGGAGAAGACAGTGGTGATGAGCATCACAGCAGGCACTCGCAGAAAGAGAGAGAGAAACAGAGATTGGCATGTACCCCGGAGAGCCCAGGAGTGAGGGGCTGATGCAGGCACGGGCTATGAGCAGACCACGCCTGGCTCAGAGCCCAGCCAGCGCCAGCTGCTTCACAGAGGGGGGCAGGAATACCCTAGGGTGCAATGCAGGACTAACCTGCCGATGGAGATGGCCCTTCCCAGCCCTAATAGTGGGATTCTGCTCTCGGCTAGTATGGCTGGAGGGGGAGGGATTAGACATGCCAGAGAGGGGGAGGGACTGACCTGGTGTGTACCGAGGGGGAGCAGGTGCAGCAAACAGTGGATGCATGCTGGGGGGGGCTGTTTCCCTGTCAGAAAGGGGAAGGGGCTCAGGGTAGAAGACGAGTACTCATGGGAGGTCTGTGTTTGCCACATGCTGGATGAGGGTGTATCCAAAAGGACACAGGAACACTCTGGACAAAAGTGTGATCACAAGAGGGCAAGTGTGCACATCAGACTGCTGGAGAGGTTCACAAGGCATGTGTCATTCCCTTCTGGTCACACTTCTACCCCACTGCCATGTGCCTGTGAACTTTCACACACACCCTTCCTAGGCATGCATGCTGGTGTAATGGAGCGTGGTGTCCTGAGGGGATACATGGCAGTGGTTGTGGGGAGTTGGGCGTCCTAGAGTACATAAGTGGAGGAGTCCAGGGATGCTTGTGTCCCACCCAACAGGGCCTACGTTTGGGGGGGTCTCTTGACAGGGCACGGGGGAAGCCCAACAGGGTGTGTGAATGTGGTGGAGACATGACAGCAGACACCAGAAAACTGGGGAAAGGAAGCAGCAGACAAGATTAGACAGAACGTGAAACAATCTGCATCGTGCAATAGAAGTACAGCAAGACTGCAGGGCAGCCTAATCCTCCATCTACCAAGCAGCTCATGGAGTTGTACATAGCGTCCCCTGGGAGGGAGAAATGAGCACTGGCCCTGTTCACTAGTACGTTGCACCAAGGACTGAGCCAGCTCCAGAGGTTCTCCAGATGTGCAGCACTTGATGGTAGTAACACAGGAAGCTACAGAGCAGACTGAGCACCAGGGGCTGAGGCGGTGCCATGTCATCTCATTCGGACCAGGCAGCCCCTCAGTGTAGGGAGCCAAAATATGGTGACTGGCTGGCTCTTTGTCAGTGGCAGCACAGCCATGGAGCGGTAGCAAGCAAAAGGGGGTAAGCAGTGAGGTAGTCAAGTTTGCAGGTGATACAAAACTGTTTAGGATAGTCAAGACAGAAGCAGGCTGTGAGGGACTCCAAGAAGATCTCACCAAACTGAGTGATTGGGCAACAAAATGGCAAATGAAATTTAATGTGGGTAAGTGTAAAGTAATGCACATCGGGAAAAATAACCCCAACTATAGGTACAGAATGACGGGGGCTAATTTGGCTACGACAAATCAGGAAAGATCTTGGAGTTATCGTGGACAGTTCTCTGAAAACTTCCACACAGTGTGCAGCGGCGGTCAAAAAGGCAAATAGGATGCTAGGAATTATTAGGAAAGGGATAGAAAATGAGACCCAGAATATCTTACTGCCCCTGTATAAAACTATGGTACGCCCACATCTTGAATACTGTGTACAGCTGTGGTCTCCTCACCTCAAAAAAGATATTTTGGCCTTGGAAAGGGTTCAGAAAAGGGCAACTAAAATGATTAGGGGTTTGGAACGGGTCCCATATGAGGAGAGGCTAAAGAGACTGGGACTTTTCAGTTTAGAAAAGAGGAGACTGAGGGGGGATATGATTGAGGTCTATAAAATCATGAGTGGTGTGGAGAGGGCCGATAAAGAAAAGTTATTTATTAGTTCCCTAAATAGAAGAACTAGAGGACACCAAATGAAATTAATGGGGAGCAGGTTTAAAACTAATAAAAGAAAGTTCTTCTTCACGCAGCGTGTAGTCAACCTGTGGAACTCCTTGCCAGAGGAGGCTGTGAAGGCTAGGACTATAACAGAGTTTAAAGAGAAGCTAGATAATTTCATGGAGGTTAGGTCCATAAAAGGCTATTAGCCAGGGGATAAAATGGTGTCCTTGGCCTCTGTTTGTCAGAGGCTGAAGAGAGATGGCAGGAGACAAATTGCTTGATCACTGTCTTCGGTCCACCCTCTCTGGGGCCCTTGGTGCTGGCCACTGTCGGCAGACAGGATACTGGGCTAGAAGGACCTTTGGTCTGACCCAGTACGGCCGTTCTTATGTTCTTATGTTCCATCTCCCGGGTCTCTAAAGCCAGCACAAGCAGGGCCTTTAATTGGCAGCAAAGCCCCCAGAATGCTGAGAGACTGAAATGCTACTCAACAGTGAGCCTGCGTGGGCGTTGGCTGAGTCAGGAGTCCCTTGCCCTTGGACAGAGCAGTGTCAGCATCTGTCATAGATTTTAAGTTCAGAATGGACCACTGGCATCTGACTCACATTTGCGCCCCACATCTCCTTCCAGCCACACACAAATCAATCTGACTTGGGTGCACGCAGGCTAGGGCCTCGCACCCTACTTGGGTAGATCACAGACCAAGTCTCACAGGGTATGTCTACACGGACGTTAGTTCGAACTAACTTTCCTAGGCGCTACACTAGCGCTCCATTAGTTCGAACTTAATTAGAACTAACGGAGCGCTTAGTTCGAACTAGGTAAACCTCATTTTACAAGGACTAACGCCTAGTTCGAACTAGCTAGTTCGAACTAAGGGCTGTGTAGCCCTTTAGTTCGAACTAGTGGGAGGCTAGCCCTCCCCAGGTTTCCCTGGTGGCCACTCTGGCCAACACCAGGGAAACTCTATGCCCCCCTCCCGGCTCCGGACTCCTTAAAGGGGCACGGGCTGGCTACAGTGCCCGTGCCAGGTGCAAGCCTGCCAGCACCCAGCTAGCAGACCCTGCACCTGGCATGGCACAGAGCCACCCAC